TCCCCGTCTCGTTCACTGTTTCTCGCACCTACCAGGGCCACACAGAATGTACTCAGGACAAGTTCCAGCTCGCGGGACCAATGCAGGGCAGACTCTGCTTCTGTAGGGGGCACACTGGAGGACGGACGGGGCGAGGACAGTGCCTCGCACCAGCGCAGAAGCAGCCGCCGGCCCTAGCTTCTCGGGGACAAGCTCCACTGCAGCCACACAGCACGCCCGCCCGCCTGCTCAAACCTGGGCCAGCTGGCTGAGTGGAGGGGCGGGCTGACACCTCACCAGGCCTTTGTCCATCTTGGGAAGGAAGCCTGCCTGTGCTAGGCGGGAAGGCTTGTGAGGAAAGCAGATGAGGAAGAATTTCGGTTAGAGAGACACCAGCAGTCACTGCACCGGCAGATGGAGGCATTCATGGAAACACAAAAGAGACAGTCTATTTTATCAAATAAAATGCAAACTATTTCAAAGGTTTAGCTTCAGGGTACTTGCCTCATTCAACTTGTACCCTCCCCTCCTCCTGCCTGTCCAGACCCCACCGCACAAAGGACAGAAACACTCTAAACCGAATGCAAACTGCCTGCCTGGGCAACAATGTCAGGCCACCCCCAACCAAACCCAGGGGTAAAGGGCACCAGCTGGGAGGCACCGTGGCCTCCAGGGGCATCCACAGAAGGAGTCTGCAAGCCACGCTCTGCTCTGCTCCCAAGCCTGCCCATTTTCAGTAGCACAGGCTTAAAAATATACCTGTCAAAGACTTAAGCTTCTATGTAACAGCAAACTGAAATTTATTTCAAGTTTACCCTTCAAGCAACTCTATTCTTAACGTACAGGATTAAACCTCGTACCACTACTTGCCAAGTTCTAATAAAATGTATTTATAAGTCTAATTTGTAGGCAAGCATCAATTTGTCCTAGAAAATGATTACAGTATGGAGTCACTGCCCTCCAAGGTTGAACAGGGTGCGAGAAGAGGGTTGTCTGGAAGGCGGGGCTGCATGGGGGGCGGGGTCCTCCCTCACGGTGAAGCCGGGGCGGTGGGACTTCCATGTTCCCACCCGCAGAGGCCACTCTTCCACCCCCACCCCCACCCCCCCCCCGGCAGGCCCCTTCCTGCTTGAACAAGGTCTTTTTAGACAGGATCCAAGTTCAAGTGCAAGTTTAAGCTATACAGGCCTGAGTAGGGGCGCCTGGGTGGCTCAGTCAGTTGACTGTCCGACTCGTGATCTCGGCTCAGGTCATGATCTCAGGGTTGTGAGTTCAAGCCCCGTGTTGGGCTCTGCGCTGGGCAAGGAGCCTACTTAAAAAAAAAAAAAAAAAAAAAGATATAGAAGCATGGGTAGAAATTAAGCCCACAGAGTGACGAGCAGAGGCCAGCACGAGTTACGCAGAAGTTATTGGAGGTGGCTGGAGAGTCCTGGCGTGCTTGGCTCAGCGTCCTCTCAGAGCGGAGGCGGGGTCTCTGTCGTGCTCCTGGCCCAGCGCTGGGTGCAGTGGGTTAAACTAGCTCTACACATAGTCCGGGGCAGCCGTTCCAGGGCACTTGATGGGGCACAGCCGTCCCAGACGCGAGCGTCTCTCCTGGTGAACTGCTGAAGCCTCGCAACACTGCCATGGGGAGAAGGAAAGCCCCGAATCCCCCAGCCCCTCTTCCCGGCACCCTGCCAATCTGCGCTCTCGCACTTGGTGTCACTGAGCCTGGCGTTGCCACAGTGGGGCTCCTCTGGCCTCGGTCAGCACGGAGTCCGGGCCTCACGGGCATGTCTCACTTGGGCTAACCACAGCTACCTGGGCAGGGGGTGGGGGGCACAACAGGCTGTCCTGGGCCCTAACAGGTGGACGTCGCCCCTGCCTGCCTCCCCAATCCTGTCCACCCTCTCCAGAGTCCAGGCAGACTCCCGGCAGCCTCCCGGGGCTCCCCACCTTGCACACCCCTGCAGGCGCACTGACCAGTCACTCCCGCTGCCATCGGCACCCCCCACCCCCTGCTCGAACGTGGGCCCATGGGGAACACCAGGCGGTCCTAGCTCATCTCCAAGAGGCCTGCGGCCTAGCCAGGTGGGTGGGAAGACCAGACTAGGTGGTGAGTGAGGAGCTCAAGGGGGGCAAGCCGGAGTGGACTCTGGGCAGCAAGAACGAGCACCTGCCTCACAGCCGCCACACACTTAGCCTCGGGCCCTGGAGCGACACACCCTGTCGCTCAGCTGTGTGACCCTAAGTGAATGACTCAGGCTCGTGCGGCCTCTGGGTGTCACCGTCCGCAACATGGGTCGCACCAACACCCCCTTGCCGGACCGGAAGAGGAGGCATGTGCTGGACATGACTGCCCGCCACGTCTCGGGCTCCCCTTCGAGCCTCACCTAGAATTCCAGGGGCCGTTACAGAAAATCTGCCCTGCTTCCGCAAGCCTGGAGTAAATGCGAGACCCGTAAGAACAGATGCTGAGGCCTCGGTGATCCTGACAGGGACACTTCTGAGTTGACCAAAGTTTCTGCAGAGATACTTCAGAGATAGCGCAGGGGTGGTGAGAGGAGGCGGCATCACAAACCGAGCTAACACCACAGCTCCGGGCTAGATGATTTCCAGGAACATAGCAGGGTTTTGTTTTGCAAAGGATTTAGAAGTGACAGCCCTAAGCCAGATCCACATAAACACTAGAACATTTGGCTACACTTAACAGTAGACCTTTTGTTTGTTAAGCCACCTTACAAGGAAAAACATTTATTTTCAAAATCTTGAAAATGTCAGTGAAGTGCTAAAGTTCAATCTAAATCTTTTAGAAAAACAAAGGTACCCCTAAGCTGTGCGTAGACCGGGCTTGCAGAGCGGGGAAGGAGCCTCACGCTCTGCAGACCACCCCTCACTTCCTGTCCCTTCTGAGCAAACGGCAGAGGCCGCTAAGGCAGGAATGGTGGAGGGACAGCAGGGGAGACAGTGCTCCGCTGACCCCAGGTGAGATGACCCCGGGCAATCTCACCAGGGAGCAGAGCCTGTCCCACTTCCCAGAAGCCTTGAGATGGGGTGGAGGAGTGGTGCACTGGAAAAGCTGGCTGGACACTCTCCATTTTAAAAGGGGTGGTGGGAGGCACCCAAGGGGGCCCAGTGCAAGGTCTGTGTGCCCCAGGGACTGGACAGCCCAATTCACAAGTGACTGATGGGCCAAAGTGGTGACAGGGGGAGGGAAGCCTGTGCCCACACGGGACCACAGGGAAAAATGGGCGTCTGCTCCCCTGTGGGGGGCGGGGGGGGGGGGGGGGGGTGCTTCTTCCCAGTGATTCCATGGGGAGTTGGCTGAAATCGGGCACAAAAAGGGCCCTGTGGTAGATCACGTGGGAAGCAAAGGCTTAGACTTAGCGGGACTCCTTCTTGTGTGCGGTGGCCATCCACAAGGAAGAGCTCATATGCTGCGTTTCCTGGTGCTCTTGGCCACGAGCCTTTCCTTGCAGGTGTCTCATAGGGCTGGTGTCCTGAGAACAGTGACCCTGCAGACTTGGTGCTTGTGCTGACAGGATGCTGGGCCTCGTGCCCAGTTTCTGACCCAGAGGGCCTGGGTTGGGGCTGACGTATTTCTAACAAGTCCCCAGGTGACCTCTCTTTGGGGACCCCAAGTGGGCCACTCCCCAGTGCTGAGGGCTCTGCCCAGGTGCCCCGCAGCTGTCCCCACCCTTTTTCAGGCCACAGCTGCTTTTCACTTTCAGCCATATCCCACTTCCATCTCGGGCCTTCTTCCTGCCCTGACTTGAACAGCGTCCAATGCTGTTAAGGTGACCTTATTTAGCTAATAGCTGAGTTAATCACACCATTAGGTTTGGATTTTATCACTCTTCTTTCTAGAAGAAACCTTCCTTCCAAGTTCCAGGGACAATTTTCCAGGCTCCTTACACGATGGTTCAACAACAGAATAGTTTGTAACGTTCGAATCTGGCTTACCATATTTATGTTTCAGATACCAAACGAGAAAATCAAAATATGCACAAAATAGGCAACAAGTGTTTGCCACAGATACCGGCATTTGCATTTGCATTTACATATCGGCTTCCGCCACTAAAAAACAAATGACAACTGAAAAGTTCTCTATGTTATTGAAATGCTTGCTTGTTCTCAGAGCAAAGGCTTTAAGAGAACCTACTGAGGAGGGTGTGTCCACCTCCTCGGTTCCAAACACTGGGGGCTTAAGAAAACAAGAGATCAAAGAACAAAGCCTTCAGAATCAAGAATCCCAACACCCCGAGATAAGAGAACACAGATTAAAGATAATCATTTACAATTTTGCACAAAAACCGTATTTAGGCTTTTAAGAAGTTTATGAACCTGTCTGGTTATGAGAAAAAAATCACAACAGAGGATATAAGACTTAGAAACAAAAGTGCAGGAAGAAAGTGTAGCAATTTGTTATCCTCCTGCCCACGGAAATACATAATTAGAGGTTAGCTGAGCACCAGCTAGACTCCTGCCAAACCTCACTCTTGCTGAGGACAGCTCCGGCTTCGGAGCCACTGACGTTCCGTTTTAAAGCTCAGCCAGCTGGCGAGGGGGTGATGCAGACGCCCCCCGCCCCCGCCCACAACTCCCCGGTGCAGGGCTGGCGAGGAACCTAGGGACTGGTCACCAGTGGGCAGCAGGACCGTGTAGTTTGGTGGACGTGCGTCCAGGAACGCCCTGCAGGTCCTGGTCTGCCTCCGCAGAGGTCTCCAGCGCATCTGGCGGGCTCACTTTGAGCATCCACCATATGGTCAGCTACCCAAACCAGAAGAGGTGGCGGGGGCGGGTGTAAAGGGCAGGGGGCTCGGGAACGGAGTGGGGGATCTACCCGCGCGCCGAAGCGGGGGGTGCGTCAGCAAACAGAGGGACAAAGGCCCGGGCGGGGGGCTCCCCCCGGCCCCAACTGCGCAGGTCGGGCCGCCAGAGGGCTTCTGGGGGCTCTGCCTCAGGACCCGCCAGCCCGCCGGGCTCCCCCGGGGGCCGGCCGCGAGGCCGGGGCGCAGGGGTCGCGCGCGGGCGCGCCTCACCTCGCACGTCCCCGGCCAGGGCCCGCCAGGTGGGCGCGTAGCCGATGCAGTGGCCGCACCACGAGGAGTAGAACTGCACGAGCCACGCGGCCGAGCTGTTGGCCGTGGCCCCGCGCACGCTGCCGCTGTCCAGCACCCACACGGCGTCCTCGCCCGCGCGGTAGAGCCGCGCCGCGCCGCCCGCCCCGGGGCCCGCCGCCGCCGCCGCCAGCAGCACGAGTAG